TCCTTCCCTCCCTCCCTCCCTCCTTTCCTTCCTTCCTTCCTTCCTTCCTTCCTTCCTTCCTTCCTTCCTTCCTTCCTTCCTTCCTCCTTTTCTGAGGGATCATTTGGCTAAGCCATTGGCTCAATAATTATTTGTGAAGCTAGTATGCTTCATTTCAGATCATTACCTTAGTCATTCTATCTAACGACTAATTTTTGTTGGCAAGATCTCATCACTGACTATCCCCTCCAGTGGATCTTCAGAGGCTATACATTGCATGGGAGGAAACTGCCCTTATTTCTTCCATGGAGAAACTGTGGATTTGAACCACGAGTTATTTAGTTATCGTTGTTGTTGTTAGGTGCCATCAACTTGAGTCTGACTCATAGCAACACTACGAACACGAGAGCTGAATTCTGTCCTATCTGGTACCATCCTCACCGTCTCTCAAACATTTGACTCCATGCTCGAGTCACCGTGGTAATCTATCTTGAATGAGGAACTTCTTCTCTTTCACTGACCCTCTACCCTTCCAAGCAATAGCCTCCCAAGAAACATGTCCAAATGATGAGAGATGAAGGTTTGCTATATTTGCCTCTAAGGAGCAATCTGGTTGCACCTTTTTTAAGACATGCTTATTTGTGCTTTTGACAGTACACAGGATATTCAGTACTTTTCTCCAACACCACAGCTCAATGGTATCAATTCTTCTGTCATCCTTATTCATTGTCCAGCTCTCAAATGCACAGCAAATGATGAAAAGACCATGGTCTGAATCAGGTGCACCTTAGTCTTCAGACTGACATCATTGCTTCTCAGTATTTTCGACAGGTGCCTGACAACAGACTTTTCCAAACCAATACATCTCCTTATCTCCTGACTATTGGAACCAAGTGTGTTGATTGTGAATTCATAAAAGAGAAAGTTTGCAGAATACTCCTGGGCCTACCCCTCCCCCCACACACACAAAATACTGATAATCCAATTACAAAATGGGCAAAAGACATGGATAGAGTTTTCAGAGGAAGGCATTCAAATGACCAACAAACACATGAAGATATGCTCAAAATCACTGGCAATAAGAGAGGTGCAAATCAAAACCACAATGAGATACCATCTCTCTCCAGTAGCAGTGTCAAAGTTTAACAGGATAGCAAGTAATACATGTTGGAAAGAATGCAGTGAGATAGGAACCTTTTTATATTGTTGGTGGGATTATACAATGGTACAACCACTCTGGAAGGCATTTTGGCGCTTCCTCAAAAACTGAACGTAGATATTCCATATGACCTAGCTATTTCATTGCTTGGATATACCCCAAGAGAATGAGAACTGAGGCTCAAACAAAGACCAACTCACACACCAATTCATAGCAGTGTTATTAACCATGACAAGATTAAATAATTAGCAATTTCAGTTCTTTCTCCATCTATTATTTCCCCCACATTATACAAGTTTGTTTAAGACATTTACATTTCTTCAAAACTGTTAGATGTAAGGTAATATTTATTTTATAACTTTATCATTATGTATAGTGCTTCCTAAAAAAATATTTACCAAAGAGGATATTCCGGAATCAGAGCATGACCGAAGTCCCCTTCTTCTCCTTGATGGCACCAATCGAGTTTCGGTCTCATTAGGATCAGAGAAGTAAGACGATGTTGAAGGACAAAGCTCTTGACTGACTGTGTTGTGACCTGAAGAGCTGAATGAAAGAAAGAGTTTACAACATTGTTGTAATTATTTCAAAGTCTTCAGATGTAAACTTAACCAGCACCACCTCTCTTCAGTCTACTCTGACTGACAGTGACCCCATGTATCAAGTAGGACTATGTTTCTTAGCAATTTTATTGGTTGAATTTGTAAAAATAGATCATGAAACCTTTCCTCTGAGACATCTCTTGGTTGACTTCAAACTCAAGTATTTTGGTTAGCAGATGAATGTGTTTGCATTTTACCATCCAGAGATTCCTCAAAAGTAAATGCCCATGCATTTACTTGAATTTACAAGAATTAGAAGCAGCATTTTTTTTTATTTTTTTTATTTTTTATTTTTTTTAGTATATGTGCTGCCGAAGTGAGCACGTGAAGCAGCATTTTTTGACTGAAACTTTAATGAAAGGTTATAGAGATTTTGGATTTCCATTCATTCACTGTTGCACATTTTACTCCTTTCCCACCCCTCCCCTCAGCTGGTTTTTCTCTTTGTAAAGTTAAATAGATAGATAGATAGATAGATAGATAGATAGATAGATAGATAGATAGATAGATAGATAGATTCTTTCATTGTTATATACTCTCACCCCTCTCCCTAGTCCACACCACTATGCAGGTTTCATTCTGGACTCTTGTCATGAGAAATAATACCTAATCATATATGCCTTTCAAACAGTTCTCTCCCTCATTTGTTTCAATTTAGTATAGATTATTTATTCCCTCTTTTCTTAGTTTCCCCTCAACCCCTATGTCAGTCTTGCTTTACAACAGTGGCACTATGCAGTATTTGTCCCTGTGTGACTGAGATATTTCAATCAGCATAATGTCCTCCAGCATCACCCATTTTATATACAATTTCATGAGTTCCTTGTTTTTCAAGAAGCAGCATTCTCCCCCCGCCCCCCACCATTTAGAAGCTATATAAATGACCTGAGGTATATAAAATAGACCTGTGTTGTTGTATGTCATAGAGTTGATCTGAACCTTGCTTTACCTTGGGTAAAGCTCACTGTCTCTGACACACTGGCCCCCATTGCCACAGTCTCTGTCTATCATCTCATCCAGGATCTTTCTCTTCTCATTGACTCTCCACTCTTTCTGAGCATGATGCCCTTCTACAGGAAGGACTTTTATTTTTGTTATTGTTCTAAGAGCATTTCTGTGGCTATTAGTCACTAATTAAAAATTCTTCACAAAGTTGAGGGTGTCTATTTAGGATAGACAGCATCAGGATGGATGGTGAAGAGATTGAGATTGTTCACAGCTTTAGTTCGCTTGACTCAACAGTCAAAACTCTAGGCACCAGTATCCAGGAAATTTAAAGACGTATTGCTACGGGAAAGTCTGCTGTTAGGAACCTTTCCAAAGTACTGAAGAGCAATAGTGTCTCTTGGAGACTGTGTCTGATACAAGCCATGGTCTTTGCTATCACTTGTTATGCATCAGAGAGTTGGACAATGACCAGGGAGGCTAGAAGGAGAATTGATGCCTTTGAGCTGTGGTGCTGGAGAAGAGTATTGAAAATACCATGGACTGCTAGGAAAGCACAGATTCATCCTGGAAAGGGTCAAACCAGGTGGCTCCTTGGAGGCAAGGATTCTGAGGCTGCGTCTAACATACTTTGGACATGTTGTAAGGAGGGACCGTTCCTTAGAGAGGGATATCATGCTTGGTAGGGTGAAGGGACAGCGCAGGAAGGAAAGGCCCTCTGTGAGGTGGACTGATTCAGTGACTGGGGTAAGCAGGATGGGTATATCGGAGACAGTGCAATTGGCACAGGACAGAGCAGAGTTTAGGACTGTTGTACATACAGTCGCTATGAGTCACAAGCGACTTGATGGCACATAACAACAACACCAATAACAGTTTTAAGATTAGTAATATTAATAATAGTACACAAATTCTCCAGTTTCCTATTTTTATACCACTAATATACAACATGCCTTTTCTCTTATCCTAATTCTTATTTATTATGCATTATTCTTTTTAAATTTTTTTATTTTAAATGGATTTTAATGAACATTTACAGAGACTTTGGATTTCCATTCATTCATTGTTGCACTTTTCTCTCTCCCTGCCCACCTTTCCCCACCCCCGATTAGCTTTTCTTTTTGAAAAGTAAAAGAAAAAGTCTTTCGTTGTTATTCAGTCCCTCCCCCCAAGTCCACTCCACTATGCTACCTTTGTTTGGAACTCCTGTAATAACAATAATATCTAATAATATTTTCCATTTTATTATTACCAATAATTCTATACCTCTTCTTAGAATAGTTTTTGTATAATATGGAATCAATAATTTTAAAAGAATATAGAAATATGATTTTTATACTTCCCTTTGTGACTTCTCTTTCTTCTTGACTGGTTATTTTTCAGGTGTCAAGAATTTGAAGAGAAAGCATTCTGTATTTTATGACACAGTTATTATGCCTCTACAGCAATTTAACTTAAAAGAAACTACACATTTCTTGTGTACTGAGGCTGCCTTCATGAAATACAATATAAAAATGTCTTTCATTTTTCATTTATTAACTGACTGGTGTAGTAGAAAATCATAGTCCTTACATCATATTCTAAAAATAGCATAACTGTGCTATAAAAAAAGAAACCATGCCCTATTATCCAGGAGAAAATGATCTTTCATAACCATTAGATTAAAAAAAAAAGAATTTAATTACATTTATATGAAAAAGCCAGAAGATACAAGCCATTCATTGAATTTCCTGTTGAGTAATTATTTTTAGTAGTGTAGATATTTTAAAATTAAACTGTATTTTAAAATTAAACACAGGTATCTTGGAAAAAAAACCCTCATTTATCTAACACTCTAACAGCCCCATTAAATCATTAAATTTCATAATTCCTGACACAGGCAAATCCTACTGTCTATAACTGGAGCTTTGGTCAATAATTAGGAAGGAGATATTTTATCCGTTTAGTCTAACTGATCCCCCCCCCCTATCTTCGGTTAGTAAAATAGACTAGTTATTTTCACCCAGAAAGAAAACCAGAAAACCAGGATGGCTGACTCTTCCTTCAGTGTCAGGTGACGTGTGCCTGCAAAATCCGGCAACACATGCAAAGTGGCTTAGTGGAATGACCTGGAAATTTCACTCCCCCTTGCTTTTTTTTGTACATAGACAAAAAACCAAAAAGACAAACAAAAAAAAAAGTCTGCTGTCAGGACCTCTCCAGAGTACTGAAGAGCAACGGTGTCTCTCTGGAGACTAAGGTGCGTCTGATACAGGCCATGGTCTTTGCAATCACCTGTTATGCTTTTTTTAATCTGAAGTTTGAGAAATGGCTGTATGTTTTTGGCTTATATAACTTCCCGAAAAGCAGGGCATGGGGGGGGAAATGTTCACATAATTAAAGATCTGATAAGAAAGGCCCAGCTGATTGGGTTTTTACTGTGCTCTCTTATGAAATACTGCAAGGGTAAGAATAACTGCATGGTGAAATTAGATTTAAAAGTAAGAGAAATTATCTAATCATCTTAGTTTACATTGATTTCTTTTTCAGGCTTAAACTGAAAGTGCTCTCTAAGCCATTACCCTGATCACTAATTGTCATTTATGAACCAGAAACTCTAACTCATTGCCATCCGGTGGGAAGTGACTCATCGCTTGCTCTCTGGTAGGTCTCTGCACGTGTCAATCACACAGGAGGACGCAGGCCACCTCTCTCCATTGGAGCAGCTAGTGAATTTGAACTGCCAGAGAGGCACCAGCTTTGTGTCCGGCTGCAACATCCCATAGTCTATACACCAGGGCGCCCGTGTCATCTGCATAGCTATTAATAATAAAAGGTCATTAAAACCTTGGGAATATGAGTAGCTAGACACTCACTTCAGCATCTCACATGTACGCACACACAACACACATCTACAACATTACACACACAAGCACACCCCCACCCCTCTACCATCTCTCTTTCTACTCACTCACACACACATATCTCCATTGTCACACCCACACCTTCACCTCATCTCCACCATGACACATACACACGCACCGTCTCCACCATCACACACACACACACACACACCATCTCCCCCATCACGCATACACACACACTATCTCCCGTTACACAGACACAGAGACACACACCATCTCCCCATCACACATACACACACACCATCTCTACCATCACTCAGACACACACACCATCTCCACCATTACACAGACACAGACACACACACCATCTCCCCCGTTACACAGACACAAAGACACACACCATCTCCACCATCACTCAGACACACATTTCCACCATAAACACACACTGACCTCTAACATCACACACACATCGTCACCATGACACACACATCTCCACCATCTCTCTTTCTCTCTCACATGCACAAACATATACCATCACACACACACACATCTTCACCATCACATACACACCATCTCCACCATCACACACACACACACTCATCTCCAACATCACACACATCTCCACCATCTCTTTCTCTCTCATGTGCACATACACCATCACGTACATGCACACACACACACACATCTTCACCATTACACATACACATATACTCACTTTCCCCCCCCTAGTATGAGTTGAAGAATGCTCAAGAGTTTCAGCTAAAGAGCATCTGAAGAGGTTCACACCAGTAGATGGCTAGTCTGATTGTCTTCTTTCACATTCCTGGGTATACCAGGTGTGCAGATACACAGCAATGTCCCAGTGTATCCTTTTTTTTTTTAAATGTTAGCGAATCACAATATCTCTTTCACTCTTTATTTCTGTGACAAATACCTCGTGGTATTTTTCTTTTTTTTGGTTTGTTTATTTGGTTTTTGTTGGTTTGTTTTTTAAAAGCATCACAATAAAACAAAGTATTTCCTGAAAATTTTCATTTTTCAAAAAAAGAAAATATAGAGTATTTTCCAGATTATACAACTAACTTGAACTGAATCCTCTATACATGTGCACCTAACTGAAGGCAGACTTGCAAGACTCAAAAGTCCTAGGAACCTGAAGAA